ACAGCGCCTGCGTACACCACATCAGCCGTGTGCAACACAGCACCAGTGTACACCACAATGCCTGCGTGTGCTCAGCCCGGCACCAGTGAATTGACCATTCTGCGGTGCACGTTGAGACGCGCACGTGCGTTGTAGTGCCGACCCGCACGACAGGGGGGAAAAGTGAGGGAGGAGGAGGAGAAGCATAAGGAGGAGGATGAGGAGGAGGACGGGGAGGAAGAGGAGGAGGAGGAGGAGGAGGAGGAGGAGGAGGAGGAGAAGGCGGACGTGGAGGAAGGAGGAGGGAAACACGTCGCATTTTATTGTCAACCTGTCCTTGGCGTGGCGTTTAGTTGTCCTCACCAGATCCTCACCGACATGCTCCTTCTACCCGTCCTGAGCACGCAAGCGCTCTGGTGTACACCAGCGCACAGGCGCTGCGGTGCACGTAAACACTGTGGTGTAGACAGTCGCTGTGTTGCACATGGCTGTTGCGGTGTACGCATTCGGTGTGGTGTACACCGGCTTTGTGGTGCACGCGAGCACTGTGGTGTACACAGGCGCTGTGGGGCAGATCGCTACTACCTGCATGCTGCTCGCGTCGTCATCGTCGTCGTCGTCGCTCGTCGCTCGTCGCTCATCGTCGTCGTGCGCGCGGGCGCGGCAGTGGTGCCGGAGGGGGGTGGCGCTACGTCATGCCCCCCCCCGCCCCCTCCCCCCCCCACCCCATGACGCCTGTCTTCGCCAATGATAAACAAATGCGCTCATGCGCGTACATGTCTTTGTATTCGCACACGTGCCTGTTTTTTGCCAAGGATCCGTTGTGAGAATTAGGGCGAAGTGCGCGCGCGTCGTCGCGCGCGCATCCCGAAACCCATCAAAAACTTTCGGAATGGCAAGGATGTGGGAATTGAGCGCCAGGGCATGATAGAACAAAGAAAACATTATAGTTGGTTCGCAACTTGAAATGTCATAAAAGATTGTGCTCTTGTTCATTCAGAAAAAAAGGCCATCGTTTCAACACGCGCTGCCAAAAAGGACCCCTCACGCGGGCATGTCGGAATCATTCGTGCGCCGTTGCGTGCGTGCCTCTGCGAGAACAATTTTCAAAACATATGGCGATGTGCGCGTGCTTTCGAACGGAATTTCAAATCGAGTGCCCGGAAGCACGTGCTACAAAACAAGCATGCGCCCACGGCGTCGGCCTCGCGTGCATGTCGAAATGCCTCCAACACGTCCATGGCCGACGCGAGGGCGCCATCATCGTCACCGGCTTGTTCAGCATCGGCGCCGTCATTGGCCATGCCGTCGTCATCGGTATCATCGCGCCTGCCGCTGTCGACGTCGCCATGATGCCGCGCCCGCCCGAGTCGCCGACTCGCACTGGCGCGCCCGGGCGCCAGCGCGGCCAGCGAAACGTGCTGGGGAGCGCCCTGCGGTCAGCGCCGCCACCGCGGCGTCGTCCGCGCCAGTGTGGCTCGCCGTTCTGCGCGCGAGCATGCGCGAGCCAACGCGGCCGCATTAGCCGCTGCATGGGTTTGGCGCCCCATGTTGCGGGTGGGTCGGTGGGATGGTTGCGCGAGCAGTGGAGATGGCAACCCCACGCTTTTCAATTTTTTAAGGGAGTTTGGATCCGACGGCCTCCCGACGCTGGGATTTTTCAGCCCCCCTGTGGATGTGAAGTTTACGTGCGGTTTTGCGCCATCGTTCGCTCTCAGTATGAATTCACACCATCCAAACCAAGTCGGCACCGATCTCCCCTCAGCAGATCCTTTGCGACACGTTATACGCGCGCGCTCGCTTATCAAAAACATTTGTCGCCAAGAGACCAACGCACAAACATAGAAAGTGCACCCGCGCGCGTCGTCGCGAGCGCATGCTGGACCTTTGGAAGAATATCGGCTTCACAAGGGTTTCAAAAACCAGGTCCTCGAAAACATGTGCACACACGGCTTGGCATCTAAGTTTGCGCGCTTTTGCGTCGTCCATGCAACCTACCATCCGTTGTTTAATGTGTTCCATCACATTTTGCCAAACGGGCCTCTAGCGCGTGCATGTCGCTATCTATCGGACGCCGTTGCACGCGTGATTGTGGGGGGGGGGGCGCGATCCATGTTAAATAATAATACGCGGGCCAGTCGCGCGCGTGTCGGCCGCGTGCGCATGTCCGAGTCTTTCCACGACCTCCATCGCCGACGAGTGGGTACCATCATCGCCATCGGCGCGATCGGCATCGGCTCCGTGATCCGCGTTGCCTTCGTTGTCGTCACCGTCGTTGCTAGCCTCGCTGTAATCATTGTTGCGTCCGCTGTTGTCGGCGTCGCCACGATGCCGTGCACGCCCGAGCCACCGACTCGCATTGATGTGCCCGCGCGTCAGCACGGCCTGGGGGGATATGGTCCGTGTAACATCATACCGCGTGGTCCGCTCGCGCGCGTCGTTCGCGCGCGCATGTCGGATTCCTTCACTAACCTTCATCGCCGACGCGAGGACGCCGTCATCGTTATCGGCGGGCGTGATCAACATCGGCGCCGTCGTTGGCCTTGCCGTCGTCACCGCCACCATCGCCACCCCCATTGCTACTTTCATCATCGTGTCTACCACTGTCGGCGTTGACATGATACCGCGCCCCGGGCCCGTGTCTACTCGCAGTGAACTGGCCGCTGGGAAGTGCCCAGGGGTCAGCGCCAGCGCGGTCACGCCGGTCGCGCCCAACTAGCTGGCCGTTGCGCGCGCGAGCATGCGCGGGGTAGCGTTGCCGCAGTTATGCACCAGCCAACAGCAAGCATTCTTCGCAATCGCCGCCGCATGTGCTTTGCAAAATAAGGTGTGGGTCGGTGGGTGGAGTGGTTGCGCGAGCAGTGAAACTGACAAATGCGGCTCCCTCAAGTGAGTTGCACTACGTAGGTTACACCAAAAATATTCCACCACGTAGGGTGCCCCACGAAGATGGCGAAACTTGATTACACAACTCAGATTGCATCACGTTCGTCGCACCGCATATATTTACCACCACATCCATAACACCACACAGGTTTGCTGCACAACGTAGATTGCACCACATAGTTGTCGCAACCTCGGTTGCAAACCATAAGCTGCACCACGCAGATTGCGCGACACAAATTGCACTATGTTGGTTGCATCGCGTAGATTGCGCCACGTAGTTCGCACCCCACCAAACCAAACACATTGGCCAAATAGAATATCACGACGCAAATAGCACACCATAAGTTGCACGTCGTATAATGCACAACCAACATTGCACCACGCAGAATGCACTACCTTTGTTGTCCCAAGTCGAGTGTACAACACGTATGGCTAGAAACATATGGCCGGGGCCCACGACGGTTTAACATGTCATAGTTTGAAAGCTGAGCACGTACCATATGATAACACCTGACACATAAATGAGTACATAGATGTGTATATGTTGTATATATTTGTACATGCGCATGTGTACTAAATAGACACATGCACATTACACACGCACGTAGCTCTATCTTACACGAAAAATATACAACCGTCAGTACAAGACGCCTTGCCGACGTGCGGTTGGCCAAGGTTCGACCTGCTGCCGTATGCCCTCTCCGTCTTATGTTCGCGATCATAGGACCCAAATGTGGAACAATGTATCTTCGAAAGGTTAGCGTCTTCGATTGGTTGGCGGGCCTCACGGCGCCTTCTTGCGAGACCCCTGTAGCGCATCAGGAAGCACTGTAGGCCAAAGCGCTTCGGGAGCAACAGAGCTAGATACCACTCCCGGTCTTTACATCACTTTGGTGATGCACCATTTCGTTGCCCGGGAGTGGCTGGACGGCATATTTGGGTTCTGCGGTGAAATCAGGCACGCCTGATGGCATTTTGGGGCCTCTGGATGGGGTGGGGGCGCCGTCCCCGGCCAGTGTTGGGCATCCTGCAGCCGTCGTCGGGGCGGTTGTAGGCCGCCTTTGGGCAGTCTCCTGGCATCGCTCGGACATGTTCATGTTTTCTCGGCGAGCGTATCGAGGAGCATCGTTGATCATTTGGCGAAAAACCCACGCACGAAACCCAAGAAAAACACAGGGAATGGACGTCCGAGCGATGGCCAGGTCTTGGGCCCGAGAAGAACAGCAGGAAAGAGAAGGTACGGCAGGTTCGCGTCGTGTGGACGCGGCGGCGGCCCCAACGCGGACGTTCAAGGTCGAACACCGCAAGCGGCCGAGAATCTGTCAGTTCGGAACGATCTGGCAATCGAGCACCGCGTATCGTGGAAGGTTGAACGATCGACGCGGTGTCAACAACCAACGTCGGGGTCGTCACCACATGAACCTTTCGTATTTGGGGCGAGCTCAGAAGGGGTCACGTTGTTTGGGAGGCCGCTTCTGGACACGACTATGTATCAGTGCTGCCACTCCTTCTCAAGTGCTACGCAATCGGTTGACACCCCCCTGGCTGAGCCATATATGGGAGCCACGTTACGGCTAGATTGGAGCTGTCTTTATAATGTGTAGGGTTTTTGGTTTATTGACGCTGTCTGGGGTTTTCGAGGGGCCACTTTGGGGGCCCCTTGGACGACACTCTCTTGGCATCGAAGAGCGTTTAGTCCAGACATCTCCGCGCCGTTGTGGGGTGTCCTTGGACAATCTTGGGGGGGCATCCCATGGCCTGAGGGAGCCATCCTGAGGCAGCATTGGGATGTGTGTGTGGGTCATTCGAGAGCGTGGGGGCAGATTTGGACATAATGGGAGCACAGCGAGCGGCAGGCATCGTCATGATCAGGGGTCTCATCATGCCCGTCTGAATCAACACCCATTCCTTCTCTTTCTTCTGTCTCTCTCTTCTAGCTCTCCCCCCGGCCCCAAGCAGCAAAGAGAGTCGCGCTTCGCGCGGCGCGGCCTGGGCCCAAGGGCTGCCCTTCTCCAAACGGGGGCAGCACCGCGCATCGAGGGGCGCGATGCACGAAGTCAGGTGACCCAGTGTCAGTGTTCTTTATCGTCCTGCCCCCACGTTCCTGCCGATGCGTTCGGCGGTCCCGCCCAGAGGTGGTGCAGAAGACCCGCAAGGAGGCATACCGGGAGCGGCTGATCGCCTTCACCGACACGGCGCCTGCCGCATCCGCGACGCTGTCCGCTGTTGCCAAGAGACGCCAAGAGGCGTCCAAGCTAACCCAGGTGGACACAGTCATTGAACGACGTGTGGTTCTTGCTTGTGTCCGGTCCTCCTTTGCTGTTGGGCCCTCGTTCTCGGTCCGCAGGGCTGCGCGCCCAACCTCGTGTCACATCCCGCCTCCCGCTCCTCCCCTTGCCCTCTGCAACCTCGTTGAGCCTCTGCCTCGGTGGAGGCCTGGGCCTCGAGCGTCAAGTCTCCGACTTGACATCCCGACACCCCCATGCGCTCGAAGGCACGCCAAAGGCTGAGCACCAGAAGCTGCTCCTCTGAGGCCACAGGTTCGGCGGTGGCCGCGTCGACCGTCGAGACCTCTCATGCCTCGATCCTCGATCCCCCCCTCCTGCGTGTCCGAACCTTCCTGTGTTGTTGGGCACTCGTCCCGAGTGCGTGGCGCCGTGCGCCTCCTCCTTCCGGCCTCCCCCTCCCGCCTAGAGTCGAGGCCGATCAGTAGGTCGACCCTGCCAAATCAAGGGCGCCCTTGTGTCCTGAGCCTCGCGACCCGCACGTTCTGCATTCCTGTGACGATGTGGCCCTTGGACGGGTCTTGCGTTCTCTCGCTTGTCCTCCTCTGTCAGTTGGACAATTCGCCTTTCGGTTGCCCCGGATAGCCACACGCTGGAGCGGACTGCCTCTGCTTCAGCGTGGCCGCTCAGCCCCGACTTGTCCCCGCCTTCCCCGCGCCTCGGCTCCTCGCGCGGCCGCTTGCGCACAACCCCCAAGCGGACCCGTGGCCACACAAAGATTTCCACCTGCGGACTCAGTGGCCGCGGCCGCGCACATGTCGGGACTGATGGGCCAATTTCCCACCACCACTACCATAGGTTAGGCGGGGGAGAGAGGAGGATGGGGAGGTCCTCCTCCTCCTCCTCCTCTTTCTCCTCTTCTTCCTCCTCCTCTTCCTCCTCCTCCTTCTCCCCGTCCTCCTCCTCCTGCTCCTCCTCCTCATCCTCCTCCTCCTCCTCCTCCTCCTTCTCCTCCCCCTCCTCCTCCTCCCCCTCCTCCTCCTCCTCCTCCTCCTCCTCCTCCTCCCTCTCCCCCTCCCCCCTCCTCCTTCTCCTACCTAAGGTGGTGGTGGTGGAAAACAGGCCCATCAGGGACACATCCCGCGCGCGGATCGCGGGCCTCGGCGGGCGCGGCCGCGCGCGGCGCCCATGTCCCAGCTTCTGAGGGCTCCGTCCATCTCGCGGCGCGCGCGAACGGGGCCCGGCTTCCCATGACTCCGTCTATGTTAGGTCCACGTCGTGTCGACCTGCGGCGACCCCGCCGCCGGCGTTCAACGTTGGACGCCGCCAGCGACCCGGAATCGATCGATGTTGAACGATCGGACGTTGCAGGGAACGACCCATCGTTCAAGGCCCCGCGGTGTCAGGAACCAGCGCTGGGGCCTACACGACACGGGTCTGCCGTACGTATCTCGCGGCGCGCACGCGCGAACGGGGCCACGTCCCAGCTCCCCAGGGCTCCGTCCATCTCGCGGCGCGCGCGAAGGGGGCCCTGCCCTGCGCGGCAACGCAGCTGCGCAGCGCTGGGCCGATCGCTGGGCTCGCGTGCCACGCGACTCCCGGCTCAGGCTGAGCTCGGCGGTGCGTGCGGCATTGGGCTCCAGGGCGGGCCCGCGTCAGGGGCTCCAGGGCAGCCCCCGCAGCTCACCAGGGGCCTGCCCAAGCCCGCCCCGAGAGAGCGAGGGGGGCCTTGCTCGGAACCCGACGTCGCGACCCTCCTGGGAACAGGAAGTAAGCGAGGGGCGACGAGTCAAGCAGTGGCGAAGCGTCCTGGCGCACCTATAACCCTACCAAGCAATGTTCTAAGGACCTTGTGTGGTTTCCACGACATGCTCTTAGAACATTTCTGGCGGAGTCTGTCTTGGTTTCACTCATCGGGTTTTTGTTCTAAGAACCTGCTGTATGTTCTTAGAACATGTTTGGGTTTTAACCGCATTTCGTGGTAGGACTACAGGAATGCCGGGACGGTCGGTCCCTGCTCAAACGAGGAGTTTGAAGGACAGGAGGGGACGATGAAGATGCGCATTTGCCCTTGACCAACGCACTGCCCGTTCCGTGCAGCGCGTCTGGGAGGGAGGGTGTCTGGGAGGGGTTCGTGCCCCGACGCGCCCATATTGCCCTGGACGGGGAGGGGGTCTCGGTTTCCCATTGATCTCATAGCGGGACCGTCTGAAGGGGGCGCTTCCGTGACGTAGGTAACGGCCCCAACATGCCACAAGAGCCCTCATATTGGGTAGCCCTCGCACAAATCTAGTGTGCTTCAGGGTTTGGGGCTCCAGAGGGGGCGTTCGTTTCCAGGTCTGTTTTCGGGATGCATTCGGGCCCTCATACGCACTCATAGGGACCCTCAATAATCGCATGATGGATCAAAGTGCGTCGCCAGCCCTACGGATGGAGAAGGACCAACAGTAGGAGGAGGGATATAGGGGAGGGGGTGGGGGAGAGGAAGAATGAAGTTTGAATGAGAGGGGGACGAGGGAAGGGTGAGGAGGTGTGAGCAGGGGGGGGGGGGGGAAGGGGAAGGACGAGGAGGAGGTGGAGAAGTAAACGGATGAGGCGGACGATGGGGAGAGAGATGCGGGAGGGGGAGGATGAGGAGGAAGAGAAGGAGGAGGAGGAGGAGGAAGAGGAGGAGGCGGAGGAGGAACAAGACGAATAATAGCAAGAGAACGGGGGGAGAGGGGGACGGAAGGGGGAGGAACAGGGAGGCAGGAGGCGTCGTGGGAAATGACGGCGAGGCGAGAAAAGGAGGATGCGCCAGAGGAGGAGGAGAAGGAGGAAGAGGAACAACAACAGGAGGATGCTGAGGAGGATGACCATGAGGAGGGAAGAGGGGAGGAGGACCGCACGGAGTACAACCTCTTGGATTAACACGTTGGGATCCGCTCGCTACAAGACCGCCCACCTGGATATTCGTTGTTCGATCGATCATCGATGCGCGATCGTCGACCGATCTTGGACCCTCGGTCCTGGATGTCGGACGCACGCGTGCACACTGCACATATCAGGGTGATCCGAACGATGCGAAGCTCGGCACGAACGACATGGGTACGGAAAGAATGGTCGCAATGCTCAACATCCGATCCTGTCCATTTAGAACAGGGCTCGCTGTCCGCGCCGTCGCGGCCTGTGCCCATTTAAGACAGAAGGCCGCCTGCCCAACAGTGGCCGCTGCTGGTTTGGGACAGCATGTGATGTTTGGGCAGTGTGCCCATTTCTTCTGTACCCACTTCGGGCGTCCAAGAAGCAGGGGTTTGGATTCTGTTCGTTCGCTCAAATTCCCCGCTGCGAGGACGCTGGTGGCATCCCAGCGCTGCCGCGCCCAGTAGGCTGGTATCCCCCTTCTCCCCCCACCCCGCGCGGCACGTACTTCCTCGCACCCCGCCCCAGCCGCAGACCTCGTCTGCGGCACGGAGGCTGAATCAGGATCCTCGGCAGATTCGGATCTGGCCCCTTACGAGCAGGCCTTTGCAAAGAGGACGTCGAGGGTATGACCCGTCGGAGACAGGTGCCCACCGCGAGCGAGAAGGACGAGCTCGACGCCGCGCGGGTGTTCTTCGAGCTCTCCGAGGCCGCTTTTCGCCCGCCGGGGGACGCGCGCGAGGCGTGGCGGCCGCCTCGGTCTGAGCAGCTGCGGGCCCTGTGCCTCTTCAGAGCGGCCCACGGGGAGTCCTCCTCCTCCTCTTCCTCCTCCTTCTTTTCCTCCTCCTCCGCCTCCTCCTCCTACTTCTCCCCCTCCTCCTCCTCCTCCTCCTCCTCCTCCTCCTCCTCCTCCTCCTCCTCCTCGTCATCCTCCTCCTCCTCCTCCTCCCCCTCCGCCTCCTCCTCCTCCTGCTCCTCCTCCTCCTCTTCCTCCTCCCCCTCCTCCTCCTCTTCCTCCTCCTCCTCCTTCTCCTAGACCGCGGAAGGCACCAGAGGATGCCTCGCAGGCCTAGAGGTTGACACCAACGCCAATACCGGCGGGGGGCCTCCACCGAGATCGCGATGGTGGTAGTATTCTGGCTTCCAAGGTGTTTGAAATATTACCACCAACACTGAAACCCAGGATCATCGTCCCCCTATAGAGGCAAACCCCCTGTGTTGGTGTTGGTGCCCATTTCCAGGCCTCCAAATGCCGAGGCAAGAGTCGAAATCGGCGGCGAGCGAGGGGGGGAAGCGAGAAGGAGAAGGCCTCCTCAGCAGGCTGCGGGATTTCTCAGAAGCCCTCGCGCCTCCTCGCGCCTTCTCAGAAGGTCTGGGGACTTCCGAGCCTTCTCAGAGGGCCCGCCCCTTCTCACTTCCCCCCGGGCGCACCGCCTACCAGAGGCAGAGCTGCAGGGCTCGTTTCGATTCCTCCGGTTCGATTCGATTCGGTCTCGATGGTCTCCAGTTCTGAGCCGGCTCCACTTCGGATTCCGATTCGGGCTCCAGTTTCTCAGTGGAGTCTTGCCAGCCTGCCGATTGCCGATTCCCACCAATCCGATTCATTTCCATCTCCGATCCGATGTACGTATATCGATTCAATATTGGACCCTCCTGGAGCATGCCGAGGCAGGAGTCCGGAGACACATCCGGCACGAGTGCTGAGAGCAACGGCAGTTTTGTTCGAAGGGGGGAGAAGCGACACCAACACCACCAGGGGGGCCATCTCCAGCGAGCAGTTCCACGATGCCTCCAAGAGCTGGAGGCTGGGGATGTCTCGAGCGAGGTGGGGGGACCACACCACCAGGGAGAATCCCATTGCTCCTCGCATCGTCTCGCCCTGGTGATGTTGGTGTCGTCTTCCCTTCTTCCTGTTTTGAAGGCTACCTGGGGGACGAACGAGAGGAGGGCGCCCTCTGCCCACTCCCGATCGAGTCGTGCTGTCCTCGTCCTCCTCCTCCTCCTCCTCCGCCTCCCCCTCCTCCTCCTTATCCTCCTCGTGCTCCTCTTAATCGTCTTCCTCTTCGTCCTCGTCCTCCTCGTCCTCATCTTGTTACTCCTTGGTGTCAGGGGTCGGGGCCCTCCGAGTCGGAGTGCCGCTCGCTCTTGAGGGTCAATTCCACGGCGCCCTGAGGACGGGGGGAAGGTCAGGGGGAGCT